GGATAAGATAAAACTACGAATAGAATAAGAAGAATAAGAATAAGAATAAGAAGAAGAAGAAGAAGAAGAAGAAGAAGAAGAAGAGGAGGAGGAGGAGGAGGAGTAGATTAGAGTAGAGTAGAGTAGGGTAGAATAGAATAGAATAGAATAGAATAATGAAGAATAGATAGGATAGGATAGGATAAAACTATGAATAGAATAGAATAGAATAAGAGTAGGGTAGGGTAGAATAGAATAGAATAGAATAATGAAGAATAGATAGGATAGGATAGGATAAAACTATGAATAGAATAGAATAGAATAAGAGTAGGGTAGGGTAGAATAGAATAGAATAGAATAATGAAGAATAGATAGGATAGGATAAAACTATGAATAGAATAGAATAGAATAGAAATATGGAAAGAGTAGAGTAGAATAGCATAGAATAGAATAGGAATAGAATAGAATAGAATAGAATAGAATGTGGGGGGGAGTGGGGATAGAATAGGACACTTTCTTTGGCTAAGTGTGATTAGACACAAGGGAATCTGTCTTTGGTGCCGAAGCTCTCAGTCTACATGCAAAACAGCAGAATAAGAAGAAAAGAAGAAAAGAGGCCATCATGAATAGAAAGGATTGGCCTTAAACCACCTCATTTCGAAATACCCGGAGGTGAAAGAAACGCGGGGGAAACCCCAGAGCGACCTTTTAGCTAGCAGCCTTTTCACTTCCTGCTTTCCGGCTTCTTCCCAGCGCGGGGAGGGGGGGGGGCAAGGTGGGAATTCGAACCCCCCCCCCACCAGTTTCCCCACCTGGTGAGGGACTCGCGCAAAAACCTCTTCCATAATTTCAGCCTCCTCCTGGCTGGATTTTGTAGAAAGCCGCAAAACGATTGTGTTTCAGTCCAGTTCTGGGAATTGGGCCGGGGTGGGGGGTGGGGGGAGGTTTCGATGACTTTTTCCTCCATTAGACATTGGCCCCCTTTCACACGACCTGCTTCCCCGTGGCGTCGATTCTCCTTGCCTTCCCATGTCATGCGTGGGATCCCGCATTAGCTGGGGGAAAGGGGCGACTCAGAGGAGCCTTCGCGCATCTGCCCCTCTCTCCCCCCCCCCCATCAACGCAGCTGCTCTTAGCGGGGCGGGTCGGGTCGTGTGAATGCAACACGCCAGCAAAGCAAACTCCCCACACTTCTCTGCACGGGGCGGAGGCGAAGACCCTCTATCTCCAAATCGTTCGTTGCAAGGAAAGGCCCAGAGAATCTCCCTGTGCGCAGACACGCGATCGGGGCGCGGAGGTGAAGGAGCAGACACGGGTACAAGGGGACGTGTGAACCCTTCCCTTCCAAGACTGGGATCTGCTGGTTGCTGCCGACTTCTTCTTGGGTCGTTGGATGCCCAGGCCGTCGGCTGCCAATCATCACGGCCCTGCCCTTGAGTTCGTCTGGCTTTGGAAGATAACGTCAGACCTGGTTAGGGCTTGGAAAGGTGACCACGAGGAAACGCTCAACTGTGTTTCGGGTTCGAGCCGACCAACTGGCCCTAAGATTGAAAAAGACGCCTGACGTACCCCTAAAGTCACTTGGAGGGGATCAAATGGCTCGGGAATCGCAGGCCACTACAAGGAGTCTATTTCTCTCTGTGTGTGAACGTGCCTTCGTATTAAACGCGGAATGTAACTCAAGAGCATTGGGCGATAAACATCTTAACCCGGTTCCCGAATTAACCTACTTTTTGCCATTGCAAGCTGCCTTCGGCCATCCCCAAACCAACAAAACACGCTAAACCACAGAAAAAAAAAATTAACCCAGGTTCAAATTACTCTAGCATTGATCTGTATTAACTAGGATTTTCTCTGCGCCCTAGTGAAGTCTGTGGTGAGAACGTAGGCCCTGTGCAAACGCGTATCACTATATAAAATGTGGATAAAACATGTATTTTTTTTCACAATCCCCAAAAGTGTTAGCCATACAGTAACGCCGATTTCCACTCTTTAGCGATTCCTAGAAAAATTAAGCTCCCTACCAGGGTTTATATGCGCGGGTTATATTTGAGGACGAAATATAATCAAGTAATCACCTATTTTATTATTATTCAAATGGAAAGGGCAAAAATAGAATCTCGGTTTTGTTCAGGAATGTTAAGGCTAAAATTTCCAGCATGAAGTTTTCCCGTGTTTTCTATGCCTGACATCAGAGGTAAGAAGGCATATAGGAAAAACAAAAAATATTTTTGCTTTTGTTTTAAGTTGCCCTGACTTAAAAGTAGATACGTCCAGACATTATAGTATGAATTAACACACCAGTGCAGTAACAGTGTAACTTTCTTAGTTATTAATCTATAAGGTTGGCCAACAAAACAATAAATAAAGCAACTAAACTCTAAATTTATGGAACAAGCCAGCTAGAGCTGGGGGAAAAAAAACTACGACTGTCACTAAATATCCATTTTTTATGGTCTGATGAGGAATTCTGCCTAGTTCAAAAACGTGCATACGTTGCCTACACTGAAGGCGAATCAAAGAAATGTTCTTGCTCCTAATTAATTTTATACATGGGACTCTAAGGCCCGGCCAGCTCCTTCTAATGGGGGCAATGAACTTTTGAGGGGGGGGGAAATGTGGGGCGATTAAAACGAAGCTTTGAAATCGTCCATCTCCGACTTCTGCCTCTGTTAGGGCAAGAAATCGGAAAGGATCGCATTTAAAGAATTCGAATTGAAGCTCCCATTTAGAACTTAAAAAAAAATAATCTAAAATTTTCACCCGCGTGGGTTAAAAGGAGTCTCGGGCTTTTACGTGTGGGAATTATTTTAAAATGCAGATTCTGCTTATTTCAAGAACGACCTAACACACAACATCAATGCACACGCAATTCCTGTCAGCTATATTGTGGTTATTTTTCAAGGGAATTGAGTTATTTAAAAAAAAAATACAGATTTGAAACAAAAGTTCCATATTTGGAAATTCATTTCTAGTTTTTCCAAGAACTGGAAAACGAAGAACTTAAAGCGCCGGGCTGTCTTTCTGCTGGTTACCCAGCGCCGAAGAAAACCCAACGGATCTTCGAGGCGATCGCTGCTGGGATCGACTTAGAAAAAACAACGCGACCAACAGATGGTTAAGCTTTCGCGCCGGTGGCAACCAGAAAGCGCAGTTCCTGCGGTTTTCTTTCTTTCTTTTTAAAAATACCTTGCAAGAAAGGAATAAAGTTGAGAGGACAAGGTTTGGGCAGAAGGATAAGGACTAGGAACGCTCAAAAAAACGAAAATGAAATTTACAGAAGGCTCGGATTCGGCGATAGGGGGATGCGCCACGTTTCCCTTCCAGCGCTGTTTTCCCTCGGCTTACTCAAAAAGTAAGGAATCTCTCGGTGGGGTAGAAAGAGCGGGGATCTACTTACTAGCGAGCAAGCTAAACTTCCAGGAGACCAAGGAAGCGCGCCGAAGACGGCGCTAAAATAGAAATTTGCAACCTCGTATTTCGGATGATGCGATCCTCTCCCACCCACTCTGGGTAAAGCGGGGCTTACGGCGGGGAAAAAATGCAGGATCGGGCCGCGCTCGGAGTATTTGCTGGGGAAGGAAAGCAATTGATTTCTTAAGCGGAACCCCCAGAAATGGGGGCGATCGTGACTGGCGTTGCTGTAAGGTTATCTCTGCGGAGTCAGGAATGCGAAAGCAGATGATTGGATGGCCTCTTCCTCCTCCTCCCTCTCTTCCTACCCACCACAAACCCCTCACCCTACGAACACTGATGGTGTTAGCTAGCTGGGTAATGAAATGTCTGCAAGGAAACAACCAAGCTCAGAAAGCACCAAGGACCCCAGATTTCTCCTCCTCCTCCTCCTCCTTCTCCTCCTCCTCCTCATCAATNCGCACACACACGGACTATGCACAACGCTCACCTGGAGGCCTTACTGTGTAATTCAGGGAGGGGGGGGATCCCTTGCCCAGACACGCGTGGCCTTTTATAACATTGACACAAACTTTTGCACGCCCACTTTCCCTCTCGGTAAAGCCCTAGGGGAACTCTTGCACCAACACACACACGGACACACACGGACACGGACCTATGCTTTCCATAAAGTTGGGGGCAAAAATCTTTACACGCCCACTCCGCTACATGCCTCTCTGAAAAATAGTTGGGGAACCCTTGCACAAACACAGGCGCACGCGCATATGTATACCAATTTGCCTTTTATACAATGGGGGCACAAGTCCTGGCACACCCACAGTCCTGTCTGTAAAATCCTTGCAACGCACAGACCCACACACTTAATGCACACCTGCTCAACGCACTTAATGCACACACACGCAGGCACGCGTGACGCACGACACAAACCTTTGCAGGCCCACTTCCCTCTCGCACCAACTCTTGCACCAACATCAACACACACGCATGCACCTATGCTTTTCATAAAGTTGGGGGCCCAAATCTTTACACGCCCACTCCGCTACATGCCTCTCTGAAAAATAGTTGGGGAACCCTTGCACAAACACAGGCGTAGCAACTTGCCTTCTATACACCTGCTCAACGCACTTAATGCACACCTGCTTTCTTATAGACTTGGGGGGGAATTCCTTGCACGCGGGCACACCTGTGCACAAATCCTGAGGCGGGATGGGGGCGTAGACTCATTCGGACATTAATCCCACTGATTTCGAGGGAGTTTATTTAGAAAGGAAAGGAATCTGCAGTTTCTTGGGCAGATGAAAAGTAAAGGAAAAAGGCCCTGGATGAGGAGATTATTATTATTATTATTATTATTATTATTATTATTATTATTATTATTATTATTATTAATGAGAAAGCTCTGTTGGTGATTTAGGGAGCGGGTTTCTTGAATCCCTCGTTCGTTTAGCTCTCATTAGCCAAATATCCGTCCCCGGAGCTCCTTGGGAGGGGGTTGGGGAGGGGGCTTCGGTCTCTGCCTGCGAGGAGCTTCCAGGACCGGGCCGGGCGCGGCTGTCCGGCGTGGCAGCGCTTGCTTGACCGCCTCCCCCCTGCCGCTGGCTCCGCAGGCTCTTCGGCATCAAGTGCGCCAAGTGCGCGGGCGGCTTCAGCAGCAGCGACCTGGTCATGCGCGCCCGCGACCACGTCTACCACCTGGAGTGCTTCCGATGCTCCGTCTGCAGCCGGCAGCTCCTGCCCGGGGACGAGTTCTCGCTGCGCGACCACGAGCTGCTCTGCCGCGCCGACCACAGCCTCCTGCTCGACGGCGCCGGCTCGGCCGAGAGCCCCCCGCGCAGCCCTGGACACCTGCAGGGCGCCAGGCCGGGACATCTCCAACTCCCAGGTAAGCCTCCAGCCCGGTCGAAACTCATTCAGTTCGCAGCACTCCCTTCCTTCCTTCCTTCCTTCCTTCCTTCCTTCCCTCCCTCCCACCCTCCTTCCTTCCTTCCTTCCTGCTTGCCTGCCTGCCTGCCTTCCTTCCTTCCTTTCTGCCTGCCTGTCTTCCTTCCTCCCTCCCTTTCCTTTCCCTTCCTTTCCCTTCCCTTCCCTTGCTCTTCTGTCCTCTTTATTCCTTCTTTCTTTCCTCCCTCTTTTCCTCCCTCCTCCCCTCCCTCCCCTCTTCTCCTTCCTTTTTCCCTCCCTCCCTCCTTTCCCCTTTCTCCTCCCTTTCCCTTCCCTTCCTCCCTCTTCTCTCCCCTTTATTCATTCCTTCTTTCCTTCCCCCATCTCTCCCTCCCTCCCAATCTGTTTCTCTCTCCACACCCCCCCTCTCTCTCACACACACAATCATTCCTCTCCCTTCTCAAATCTCCCTTCCTTTCTCTGCATTTTCTACCCCATCCTCCTCCCTCCAGCCCCCCTCCCTGTATCAACAACTCCATATCTCCTCCCAGGGCTTGGATTTGTGTCCCCCTCCCCCTCTCATTCTGTTGGGGTGGGGAAAAGAGTCTTTTTCACGGGACTTTCACCGCTCCTGGGGGATCAATCAATAGCTTGGCTGCTCCCACTGGTTAGGGCACTTTTTAAGGTGCTCTAAGTTAAAAAAGGCCACGTAGCTATTTCAGAGGTTAGGAGGAAGAGAGGAAACAACCAGGGATTTTAATTTTAATTCACAGGTCCTGGGTATGTTTGGGGGCAGCGTCTCTACTGAGCACCTTCCAGCTGTGCTGCCTAACTAACTCCCACCATTCCTAACCCAGATGCTGGCCCTGGGTTCAAGGAAAGGGGGGGGGAATTGGCATCTGGGGCAGAGGAGAGCAGAAGGCCTGGCTAACCCCTTTGCCTCTTCTGGGCTAGCCAGAAAGCCCTAATTTTTGAAACTCCCACCTCAGGGAAATCCCTTAGACCGTCTTTCTCAAATCTTGGCAACGTGGACTTCAACTCTGGCTGGGGAATTCTGGGAGTTGAAGTCCACAGGACTTAAAATCGCCAAGGTTGAGAAACACTGCCCTAGACCATCCACNAGGGAGAAAGAGAGAGAAGGAGAGAGAGAGGGAGAAGGTGAGAAAATAAGATTTATGAATATGATTTATTTTGGCTCGTCGCACAGTCGGCTAGATGTTCAGCCTGGATTTGGCATTTTTGTACAGCTAGTGGATCCTTTCCAAGGAGCTGGGATAGGCAGCTGTGGATGCTGGATGGTGTTAGAGACGATGGTGATGATGATGATGATTTAAGATTTCATCGCAATTCGATTCACAGTCTGGGACTGGTAAAAACTGAACGATTCCAGTCCTAATCAAGGACCTGTTAAAGTAACGTCTGAAGATGTAGGCAGTTCCGAATAAGGTGGCTTTATTTTTTTTTGCAAAGACAGAATATTCAGGGTCTGAGAAATTCAAAATGTCCTTGTTTCTTAGCAGCTCTTTAAGTATGGCTGTTACCTACTATTTCTTCCTCCAATTATTATTATTTCTTTTATTCATTAAACATGAACCTCAGTCAACTGGACATTTTAAAATGTATCAGAAATATCCTTGACCGGCGCTGATGGTCGATTTAGGTGGCGATTATTATTATATACTTTATTCATTAAACATGAGACTCAGCCAACTGAACATTCAAAATTGCATCACTATGATTATTATTCTTCGCAACAACAGAATTGTATCACAGCGGCCAGTTGTTATTATCATTATTATTATTATCATCATTATCATTATCACCATCATTATCTTATTGTTATTGTTATTATAAATTCTGTTGTTGCTAATAATAATAATAGTGATGCAATTTTGAATGTTCAGTTGGCTGAGTTTCATGTTTAATGTTTATTGTTATTATTATTAGTATTATTTACTTTATTCATTAAACATGAAATTCAGTCAGTTGAGCATTCAAAAATGCATCACAAATTATTATTACTATCATCATCATCATCATCATCCTGCAAATGGGGAAGTTAATTTAAAGTGGCTTGCAATCCCTTGTGCCTCGCAGAAAAGGGTTTTCCTTCATCTTTATATTTCCTCCTTTAATGTTATTAATTGGCTTTTATTGCCCGGAATAATTGAGCACCTCGCCAGAAAGTGTCCAAGGAAAAGATGATGATGATGATGATGATGATGATGATGATGATGATGATGATGATGATGATGAGAGTCGACGCTCTTTTTCCCCTTCTGCAACTTTTCATCTCTAAATTCTCAACCTATCTGGGAAACGGGGCGATGTGGAAAAACGGCTGCCCAAAACCCTTCTCTCCCGCTGCTTTTTCCTTCCTCCGTTTTCCCTTGGGTTTTTTTTGGGGGGGGAGGTCTCGGCGACCCCTTGGGGGTCTCTCCTGCCAGCCGGGGCTTCGGAGGGGGGGCGCAGGGCGCGGTCCCTTTTCGTTCGGCGTGGGAGGGGGCTCCTCCGGCCCAACCGTTGCGAAGTTGTCCTGAAGTGTCCTGTGCTGCTTTTCCCCTCCCCTCCCCCGGCAGAGAAACCCGGGATCGCCACGTGCGTGGGCTGCGGGAGCGAAATCCACGACCAGTACATCCTCAAGGTCTCGCCGGACCTGGAGTGGCACGCGGCGTGTCTGAAGTGCGCGGACTGTAGGCAGTTCCTGGACGAGACGTGTACTTGTTTCGTGCGCGATGGCAAAACTTACTGTAAAAGAGATTACATCAGGTAGAACAGCCCCCCCCTCTTCCTTTCCACGCGGGGGGGAGGGGGAGCGGGCTCCCCTTTATTTCTAAGCTTCTCCTCCTGGGGTCTTTCCGCTTGCGACCCCCCCTCTGCTTGGGACTCTTGGCCTGCCTTCTTGGGGGTGGTGGAGTTTGTGGGTTTGGTCCCTGAAAGAGTCTCGCCTCCCTCTTCCCTTCCTTCCTTCCTTCCTTCCTTCCTTCCTTCCTTCCTTCCTTCCTCCCCCCTCCAGCGTTTAGTAGGAGTTTTCTTTTGGGGGTGGTGGGAATTTAAGGCGGGTGGCCGAAGGTGGAGCGAGGCGCGTGGGCTTTTTTTGAAGCCCTGGTGGCAGGAAGTTGGAGTCGCCTTGGCAGGAGAAGGGAAACCTTTGTCACTCCCCTTCGCCCCCCCCCCGGACACACACACACACACACACACACACACACGCACGTACGCACACACACGGACTATGCACAACGCTCACCTGGAGGCCTTACTGTGTAATTCAGGGAGGGGGGGGATCCCTTGCCCAGACACGCGTGGCCTTTTATAACATTGACACAAACTTTTGCACGCCCACTTTCCCTCTCGGTAAAGCCCTAGGGGAACTCTTGCACCAACACACACACGGACACACACGGACACGGACCTATGCTTTCCATAAAGTTGGGGGCAAAAATCTTTACACGCCCACTCCNTAGTATAGATCTATTTCAAGCTATTTAGCTCTCATCAGCTAGCCATACCCTTGCTGGGAATCGAGCCTGTGCTATATATGTGGGTTTTTGTAAAACAGACAGGACTCAGGTGCAGCAACGAACCCCCTTAAGTTAAGTCACTATTAACGTAATGGATTAATAGAAAACAGGTCCTACTTCCAATGTCAAAATAACGGTTGGGGGGGGGTGTTTGGTAGATCCCTGGCTTAGCCTCAAATGTCGTTTCTTGGACTGAAATCTCCCGATTGCCTCCAAACAACAACAAAAAAATAACGGGAACTTCCGGGTGTGGAGAGGGGTCCCCAGGAATACCCCCTCCACCGACCCTCACTAAGAAGGCGATCCTAAAATAAAACTAGTGTGGATCCTGATTAAATCTGCTCTGGCGCATTTCATCTCTTTCCCCAAGCCCAGATCTGCTTCTGGCTAGCCAGCCCAAAGGTCACGGACGGTGTGACTCGCTCTGTGGTTTCAATGGCTGCTCCTCACCTGGGCGCACCTTTACCTGTTTTGCCCTCCGCTTCTCCGTCCCACGCGCGCCTTTTATGGCGTTGGAGGCCCAAACGGGAATCTTGAAAATCGATCGGCGGGGGATGAGGCAAGGAGGAAAGGAGGAAATGAAAAGAGAAAAAAAGAAAGGGGGAGAAAGAGGGAAAAAAAATATTGAAAGGGAGAAGGAAGGGGAACGGGAGGGAAAGAGAAAGGGAAAGGGAAGGGAAGAGAGGAAGGAAAAAGAAGGGAAGCAAAGGGAAGGAAAAAGAAGGGAAGGAAAGGGAAAGGAGAGGAAGGAAAAAGAAGGGAAAGGACTGGAAGGAAAAAGAAGGGAAAGAAAGAGAAGGGAGAGTAAGAAAAAGGGAAAGGAAGGGAAAGGAAGAAAGGAAAGAGAAAGGAAGGAAATACCATTTTTCCTCTTTCTCCTAACCTCAAAGATCCGTTTGCCCAGGATTACATTCTCCGTTCTTCTATCTAAGGGCCTCTTTCCCCTGGATAAATTTACCCACGCAGGCCTAAAACCTCGCAGGGTTTACTCGAAAGGAAACTCCCCGCGTCCCCAGCGCCCTTGCAGCCTGCAGCCCTCCGTCCTTCCGTCCCCGGAACGGAGCCCACCCAATTGAGAGAAACTTCCCACCAGGTGAATCTGGCTGAAAACGAACCCAGCCGAAATCGGCTTCTTTTCCCTACCGAAATCCGGGTGGGCCACGAAGCCGTTGATTTAAAATTAATTAAATTTAATTAAAATAAATTTCAATTTATGTATTTTTTTTTTAATAAAACGTGCTTGCGGAGCGGAGCCTTGCAAAATCCGTGTTTTAAACGCGCGCGGCCTTAATTCCGTCCCGAGAAGGGCCGGGGGTGGGTGGGTGATTTATGGAGAAAACCTGCGAGGGGTAATTGAGAAACGAGCTTTGCAAAGAACCAGGTTGGGGGGTGGTGGTTAGGGGGAGGGGGCTTGAGAGGAATTGGGGGAACAAGACGGGGGTCTCCTCCGTGCCGAAATGGGTCGATGCGCTGCCCCGGCGCGGTGAGCGAAGTTAACCACAGCTCCTTCGCTGGCCTGGAATCACGCGCGATTCATTGTGGGGGGCAAAAGAGGAATGTTTAAATCACGCACACAACTGATTCCTAGCGGACAAGGATGCGTGTACGCGCGTGTGAGAGTTACACCCGTGCAGGCGCTCACGATTGCAGCGCACGGCGATTTTTTACGGGTGATTTTTAAAAAAAAAGAAAAATTAAGCAAGCAAAAATTTCTCTTTTTCGGTTTTCTTTCAAAAACGTTTTCGACTTTCTTTTCGCCTTCGCCTCCTCGCGGCCCGGTCGCTATTTCTTTCTCCTGGATGAATGTTTTAAATCAGTGGGCGTTTGTGATTTTAAAAACCGACCGAAAGAGAAAGGACGTTATTCGGGAATTCCGCAGGGCCTTTGCGAGGCTCCCGAGGTTGAACATTGGAAATGTATGAAAGTTAACAATAAAATAAAATTAAAAAAATGAAATGTCAAAAGGATTGGGAATGGGGGGGGGGAGAACCTGTTTGAGAGAAGTCACAATAATAATAATAATAATAATAATAATAATAATAACTATAGCTATATAACTATATAACTATATAACTATATAACTATATAACTATATAACTATATAACTATATAACT